ATGGATAATTAAGTATAATTAATAAAAATAATAGTGATGTTTAATCAATAATTAGGTGATTAATTAGTCTTCTCACCCCACATAGATTACTAGTTGTTTCTATATGTGTTAAGAAAACTGTAAGTTTGTAATATGCATGAGACCGATTGCAAAAATATATAAAAGGTATAGTAATATATGCTGCACCTTGAATTTCTTGAAAAATTTTCTTGACTCTCGGTGTGTAGAATTAACGATTCGTACTAATTAAGTGAAGTTGAGCTTAAAAATAGATGCAGATTGAAGAAGAAAAATAATAAGTAAGGAGAAATAATTGTGTCGTTTAGTTAGTGTTAGAGTTCCATTGGGTGGTTTGTTTTATTTTATTTTGTTTATATAGAATAGCTACTCACTCATTGCTCGTCTCTTCGGAGACATCTCATAGCTCGTTCATGTGCTGTGCAAAGATTGTTAAATTGTAATTCAATGTGTCTAAGCTATCAGTCGAAAAGATTTGATTTGTTTTAAATTTAAATAGATTTGATTTAAATCTAGATTAAATTAGATTTGATTTAGTAACAAAAAGATATTTTGTACTTTGGGCTTAGGGTGTAAGCTCAGCAGTTATAAATAGATGGAGTAACCCCTATTTTTGTAAGCAAGTCAAATAAGTTGTATTCACAGAATTTGCAGTTGCAAGTGAATAACAAAGTTTTCACAGTTTGTGAGCATAGAGAAACTCTGCAGAAATTATTTGTCTTGTCTTCTTTTCTTTGTTTGTGCACAAATCGAGAAATAGTCCAAATTTCTCGACGATGCCTCCTACTTCAACCAAATTCGTGTATAATACTAAATTTTATTCAATCATAGCTCTCTAGAGATAATATCAAAATTCACCATATAGCTTGCTTCAAAAACTTCTGCTCTGTAGCAGGCATATGGGATGTTTTTTAACTATAGTAGGCATACGGGATGTTTTTTAACTTCAACACGCATAACTGTAGTTTCCATGAGTTTCACTTTTATTTTGATTCTTACTTTTTTTAACATTCACTTTTATGAATAGTGGAGGCGAATTCAAAGTATAAAGGGATGCCGTTGCCGTTAGCTGTGCCTGCTATAGGATAACAACTGTGACCTCAATCTATATGAAGAGCGCCGGGTAGTTCATGTGATTATGCTCACCACCGCTTTCTTCAATTCAATTATTGGTACATTCATTCATGTCTTCATTCCATTTCAATGCTACTCACTTGCTTCTAAATTCTATCATGTTTAGTAGGTTTTCTTATCTATGTGGACTGATTTCAGTTTGTGAATGGTCACCATGTTACCACAGCTTCTTAATGTGGGACATACATGTAGTTACTCTCTCAATTCTTAAGCAATTATTCAATCTTTGAGTAAGACCTTATGATCTGTTGTGAACCACCCGTCCGATTATCTCCAACTAGGCTCTTCAAGAACAATAAATATGTGCAATTCATAAATAGTATATGACTGATATTTCTCATAATTGTACAGGTCATATATCAACATTAAGTTGTCTTGTTAATATGAAGAGAACATGTGCCATGTCTGATGCATGTCTGAAAATAAATCAGTTGGCATAGTATTGAGTTTAACACGCGCACATCTCAATTGATTTTCAGTGGCTACGGTTTGCACTCTTCTTGAATTTATTGATCTTTGATAGAGGCATCTAAGACAGTTCCATGTGATCTATTGTCTCATGGGCCCATCATTTTAACAATAATTTCAACATACTATTGGAAACTATAAATGCACCATCTTCCTTCACAACATCTCAAACCACTCAAGCAAACAAATTTACATACACTTTTCTTAAATCTGAAATATTCAGCTTTTTTTTCAAAATGGGTTTCCGATTACCTTCTATTAGACGTGCTTCTTTTATAGGTAGCCAAGCATCGTCAAAAGCTTTGAATGTGCCACCAAAAGGTTATTTTGCAGTGTATGTTGGAGAGAAAATGAAGCGCTTTGTTATCCCTATGTCTTACTTGAACCAACCTTCATTTCAAGACTTGTTGGGTGAAGCTGAGGAAGAATTCGAATATGATCATCCGACGGGCCCTCACAATTCCTTGTTCCGAAGATGTTTTCTTACATATTACTTCTAGCTTCAATAGACTATAAATCTACAACTGCAAGAGACTGACATTAGATTAGCCGTGACATTTTGTACAATAGTCACCACTTAAATTTGTATAGATTTTTTCCTCTCCCTACCTTTGGAAAGGGTTAGAATTGTCCATCTGAATGACAAATTCAGGAACAAATTATTTGTTATTATTTATTTCTAATCATAATAAAACATTATATTCAACAACTGAATTGGTTTCTATATGCTTCTTTTTATAAATTCTAAAACAGAAAATATACTGTTTATCAAAATTCAGTCCAATCAGTAATATTTTACTTGTTTTGAATGAGAAAATACACCCTGAGAGAAAATTTGAGACATATTGAAGGCAGTGGTTATCATTATATCAAGCCAATTATTCTACATTTATTGGCCTAATTAATTATTTAGCCAAACTATAATTGTAGATAAGTTACCTTGTATCTAAGTTCAACTTTGTTTACACGCCTTATGATTCTATTCTATGAACTGCATCTTCATCTAGGCAGAGCAATGAACTGAAGATAAGTTGCAGGACAGTTAAATGTTTGTTTTGTCTGTTCGGTGAAGTTGTTTGATTACAACAACTCTGATTAAGGGAAGCTAAGCTAGAGCCTAGTACTTGGTTTCAATTGATGGTCCAGCTAAACTTTGACTGAACACAGAACTAGCCAAACTATTATTTGATGGTTTATTTTCAATTTTAGGCTCTAATTAACTGTCTCCGATATATTCTCTGTTATATGCTCTGGTCAGACTCTGTTTAAATCAGGGAATTAGCACCTGAAAAATGTGGACTGCATTTTTTATTGTCCAGTAATGTTTCCTAAAAATATATTTTTAATTGAAGAAAGGATCCTAAATGTAAGGAGACTGTGATAATCTTCTGATTAGTATGTAATAGGCAGTATCCAACACAAGTATTTAAGATGACATAAAATCAACAGGAGTATAATTTGTTTCTGTTTTAGGCTTTAATTACTACATCTCTATTATTAATTAATATCAGTTTGATTAGATGAGTTCACAAAAAACAGCAGATGAATTCACAAGAATATAATTTGATTAGATTCTCATTTCAGATTTCCACTTAAGAGGAAACATCAAAAATTGATAGGAATTCCTAACGTACAAAAATTGTCTCAACTAGTCAATCTACACTGTTCTATGCTAATATTCATATGCATTTTTTGCCGTATAAATTCATTATAGGTTGTTCAAGCAAGATGCTGTATGTAAGAAGATATCTTCCTTGCACGGAATTGTAAGACCGCCCATTGGATGACAGTAACCGAATTCCTCTTCAGCTTGGTTAAGCAATTCTTGAAATAAAGGCTCGTTCAAGAATGATAATGGAATCAAGAACCTCCTTGCTTTCTCTCCAACATACACCGCAAGATACCCTTTTGGGACTTCAACTTGTTTGCTAGATGATGATCGTCTAATACCAGGTAAGCGAAAACCCATTCTCGTTTGTTTCTTGACAATAGAATGATCTCAAAGAAGTAGTAGAAGAAAGAAGTGAACTTGAATTGTGATGCTTCAAGGTATGAATGGTGTATGTTGTTTGTAAACCCAATGATGGATATATATAGACTTTGAAAACCAATTGTATAGTGAATGAGTTATTGAATGGGTGTTAGTGGGAGCCATGGCTCATTAATGATCACATGCTACTGTCTTGAAGGCTTTCTTAGAGGACCACGAAATGTGAGATTACTTAATATAAATCAGACAAGCTCTAAACACATCAAATATCTTGTTCTTGTTTTTGTAAGACAAGTGATATCTACCAATACATGATATCCAACGGATAAACCATGCAATCTTCTTAGATGCTGCTGCAACTCTGTATGGACAGACTACTACCACATTGTTGATATAACCGTAAAATGTCGCTGATATATCAATTGGATAAATTTAATTACTGCCAGTCTTGGAAATAACTCATTCAATCTTTGAGAAAGACCTCTAGACAGTTTCATGTGATCTCTTGTCAAAATTAAGCTGTGTTGTCTATGTGAAGAGAACATGTGCCATGTCTAATGCATGTCTGAAAAGAAATGAGTAGGCATTATACAAGCTAGCATTGAGTTTAAGGTAAGCCTATCATTCAGAAGATTGGTTTGCACTCTAATAGAACTTATTGATCCTTGACAGGGGCACCTAGACAACACCATGTGATCTCACGCCCCCCATCATTTTAAAAATCATTTCTCTTCCAAAGGGATTTCAAGAAACTGTTGGAAACTATAAATATAGTGTCACTAATCACTCAAGCGTCAAACTTAGATACATTTCTCTTATACGTGCCAAAATTCAGCTGGTTCTTCAAAAGATTTGAAATGTGTTTCCCTTTACCTTCAACTATAAGAAAAAGGCATCATTTAGCAGCACCCGGAATTCATCAAAAGTTATGAATGTGCCGAAGGACTATCTTTCACTGTACGTCAGAGAGCAAATGAATAAGTTTGTGATTCCAATGTCATATTTGAACCAGTTTTCATCAAATAGTAAGCCTCACATTTCCTTGCACAAGAAGGTGTTTTCCTGCATATAACTTCTGATTGCATTGAATTTCACGTTCATTCACATTCAAGTTGGAAGAGAATGAATTACACATTCTATATATGCTCGGTATCAGTTTTACATATAACAAAATTCATTCCTGTATTGAAGCATCAGAATTCAAGTTATCACTTTTTCATCTACTACTTGTATGAGACCGTCTACTACTTTGAAAAGAGACAATGGAAAAAAAAATGATGTTCACATGTTTCTGGGGCTGAGTTGCAGGATTAGAAAGAGTCTGCTGCACAGAAGTTAAAACCATTGAATAATAGAATTCAGATTTATCACTTCTTAACCCAATTATGGAATGTCTATCCACAATGACAATTTGTTGAAGGATTTTGAGGATATTTCTAAGCAGTTGATTTTTCATTTTAAGGAAAATTTCACTACCGAAAATAATTGCTTGGATAATTGTTTAGTTGAGGAAACCATTCCTAGCCTTGTTTATGGACAAGACAATAATATGCTTACTAGCATTTCCAATAAAGACGAGGTGAGGAATGCCATTTTTGCCATGAACACTGATGGAGATCCAAGATCAGATGGGTTTGGTGCTAATGGCTATTCAGTATTTTTGGGACATTTTCGGCAATGACTTGTTGAGGCTTGTGTTCAGTTTTTCCAACTGACTGGACGTCTTCTAACTATAACAGTAACATTGTGGTCCTTATTTCTAAAATTGATGGTGCACATAAAGTGGATCATTATAGACCTATAGTCGTGGTCATTTTAAGTTTAAGGTTATCACCAAAGTGCTAGCCGACAGACTTGCTACTGTTTTGCTTGATATTATTTCTTCTCAACAAAGAGGTTTTATTTAGGGAAGAAATATCACTGACAGCATTTGTCTTGCTTATGAGGCTGTTAATATGCTTCATCATAGATCTTTTTCATAAAAATTGACATTAGAAAGGCATGTGATACTATTGATTGGAGATTCTTAATTGAAGTTATGCAATCTTTTGGATTTTACTCCAAATTCTGTAATTGGATTGAAGTGATCCTTAAATCTGCCAAATTATCTATTTTTCTATATATGGTAAAGCTGCGTGTTTCTTTTCTTGTAAGAGAGAGGTGAGACAAGGGAATCCCTTACCTCCTCTTTTACTTTTGCCTTGCACAAGAGGTCTTAAGTAGAGCAATTACTAATCTGGCTAGGGTTCTCAAGGCTCATGAGACCATTGCTTATCTTACTGATTCCTCCATCTCGTATGATCTTAAGATGAGACTGTCTTAGGCAAAGGACAATAGTCTTTGGCGCATTGGCAAAGGTGACAAGGTGAATTTCTGGTGTGATAATTGGAATAAAGATTCATTAGTTTCCAAGTTACATATGCATTTAACTCACCATCATCATATAACTGCTAATATTATTGATTTTATTCAAAATGACAGATGGATTGTTCCTCACACTATCAAGCAAGCTTACCCGGGTATCACCCAGATTTTGCATGACGCTATCATTCTTCAATTTGAGTCTCAACATCATTTCATATGGAAGCTTTCCACTAATGGAACTCCTACTTTTAGGTATGCATATCAATTTTGTTTCCCTCCCCTTCAAGAGCTTTCTTGGGCCAAGCTTATTTGGCATAATTATGTTCCTCCTTCAAAGTTTACTCTCAATTTTGGAGGATGGTTCACACCAAAATAGTTACTGATGAAAATCTGATCAGCATAGGTCTTAGCGTGGTTTTCGAACTATCATACTGTTGATGCTTTTAAATGTGAGACTAGTCAAAGTTCTTCATTTAAAATTGATAAATAGACCTAAGTAGGCAAGAGATCATGGCCTAATGTGGATGTGTTCCTAGCTTTAAACAATTGTAAAGACTATTTGACCCTTGTTTTTTTTTATTGGTTTAGGTTTGACTCTTGGCTAACATTCACTTTTATGAATAATTGAGGCTGCTAGGAATTCAAAGTAAAGAGTTTCCGTTGCTGTTTGACCTCAATCCATATGAAGAGCACCCCTTTTTCAACTATTGGTATATTATTCCAGTCTTCATTTCATTTCAATGCTACTGACTTGCTTCAAAATTCTATCATGTGTAAAACAAGTCGAAATTTTTTTATAGGTTAGTGTTTTTCTTCAAATAGAAGCAAATGTCCACGTAGATGCATTTAATGCTTGTATTACAAAATTATCCCTGCATTAATTACTTAATATTGTTATGGGTGACAATTTAATTGAGGGTATACTAGTAATTATATTATCTCTCTTTCATGAAATCAAGAAAAGTAAATACACTCAATTGTCTTTCTTAATAAGCATCAAATTTGGTAGTTGCACTAAATGATGATCCTATACCAGGTAAGCGAACAATTGCTTCTTCATCCAGACAGAGCAATCAACTGAACATAAGTTGCAGGAGAGTTAAATATTTGTTTTGTCTGTTAGTTGGCTTCAGAATTAAGCAAAACTGTGAATTATTTGTAGTTTTTCCTCGATCTAAATTAACTCAAATACCATCGGAAATTCGGAATCACCAATTTGATGGACATTATATATCAATTACTGATGTGGATGCAAATAAGTAATTGCTTTCTTCTGTTCTGGTAACTTTATTGACTTGAAATTCATGTTTAACTGCTATCTTATTTTTACGTATGTGGCTGGACACAAAACTGGCAGTGGAGAACTTTTCATTACTGGATCAATGAGCGGTAAACCTAAAGTCTATTATTTGATAAGTTTAGCTTCTGATTTAGACTTTAATTAACTATGTCTCTAGTACTAGTTAATATTAGTTTGATTAGATGAATTCACAAAAAAACAACAGATGAACACAAGAATATAGTTTGATTAGATTTCCACTTAAGAGGAAACATCAAAATTGATAGGAATTCCTGATGCACAAAATTGTCTCAACTAGTCAATTTACACTGTTCTATGCTAACATTCATATGAATTTTTTTTCCGTATGAATTAATTATAGGTTGTTCAAGCGAGAAGCTGTGTGTAAGAAGATATCTTCCTTGCATGGAATTGTAAGACCGCCCATTGGATGACAGTAACCGAATTCCTCTTCAGCTTGGTTAAGCAATTCTTGAAATAAAGGCTCGTTCAAGAATGATATTGGAATCAAGAACCTCCTTGCATTCTCTCCAACATAAACTGCAAGATAGCCTTTTGGTATTTCTGCTTCTTTGCTAGATGCTTGGCTTGCACTAAATGGTGATTGTCTAATACCAGGTAAGCGAAAACCCATTCTTGTTTTTGTTTCTTCACAATAGAATGATCTCAAAGAAGTAGTAGAAGAAAGAAGTGAATTTGAACTCTGATGCTTCAAGGTATGAGATGAATGGTTTGTGTTGCTTGTAAACCCATGATGGATATATATTTATATAAAATTTGAAATTAATTGTATGGTGAATGACTTATTGAACGAGGTTTAGTGGGAGCCATGGCTCATTAATGATCACATGGTACTGCCTTGAAATGTGAGATTGCATGCCCCACCTTTTGGAAAGTTATAGCTGTGAAAGAGACTTGTTATGGATTGCTTCATATGTTTCAAACAAGTTCTAAACATATCAAATATTTTGTTCACGTCTCTCTAAGACAAGTGATGTTTCCCAGTACTTTAAATCCAATCAATAAACCATCAATACTTCTTGGAAGCTGCTGCAACTTTCTATGAATGGACTACTGCCACATTGTTGATCTAACCGTAAAATCAGACTGCATACTCACAAGATATTCGCCTAGTAAAGAAGAACTGACATTGTTGATCTAACCGTAAAATCAGACTGCATACTCACAAGATATTCGCCTAGTAAAGAAGAACTGATTCGACTGAAATTTGGAATTTGATAAACACACCCTTTTTGTGGGCAAGTAATTGCTATACATCATAAGTCATAGCGGCTAAATAAATAAATTTCTATGACAAGAGGTCGGAAAAATTCGCAGAAATACTCAAGCTGGATATTGCTTACAGCATGTAGCCTTGTTTCAAAGCATGTTGCAAGTTTTCACTCTTCCATTGAACTAGCTGGGTTTAGATAATGATTTAAAATGTGTCATACTTTGTATTCCTGCAACCTTTACAGCATTGAAATGTTAGGAAACTACGCAAAATTTCCCCATATTATCAGATTTTTGGAAGAACAAAATAATGCGGAAGCACACAAACTTAATGAAAAATGAAATCTATAAATTCATTAACCTCTCCTCACATGAAAATTTCACAACTCAATTACACTGAAAGAATTTATTGAAATTATGTTCTGATGATTACAAATGAAAGATATAAGGCTTTTATAGCCAATAAAACAAGAAAGGTGAATGGTTATTATTTAACATCTCCTTAAAGTTCTCATAACCATTATTGTTTCTTTTTACTATTATTTTTTCTTGTTTCTCCTTCATACTCTCTTTATCTCTCTTTTATTTTGACTAACAATCTCCCACTTGAAGAGTGATTTCAATCAGTCTTCACACCTTGGTCAAACAACAACGTTTATCAATCTATTATTCTAGCAGGCCAACTGAAGAAGAGCACAACTTCAGTTTATCAATTGTTACCACCTTTGTTAACATGTCAGCTGGATTCTCACTTCCTTGTATCTTGCTCAATGTTAGTACCTCATCCTCAAGAAGAGATCTAATGAAGTGATAACGAAGACCAATGTGTTTTGTTCTTGAATGAAATGCAAAGTTCTTTGCTAGATGTATTGCACTTTGACTGTCACTATACAAAACACTCTTCTCCTGCATGAAACCCAACTCTGTTAACAATCCTTGAAGCCATATTAATTCTTTACTAGCTTCTGTGACGGCTACATACTCAGCCTCAGTAGTAGATAAAGCAACAATCTTTTGTATTCGAGATATCCAACTAACTGCTCTTGTACCAGCAATAAATATATAGCCAGTCGTACTTCTTCGGTAATCAACTTCACCAGCAAAGTCTGCATCAACGTATCCTTGTAATTTTATTTCTCCTTTGCAAAAGTATAGACATTTCTCTTTAGTGCCTCATAGATACCGCAAAATCCACTTGACTGCTTCCCAGTGAGCTTTTCCTGGATTTGCCATAAACCTGCTTACAACTCCCACTGCATGGCCAATGTCTGGCCTAGTACATACCATTGCGTACATCAAACTTCCTATGGCTGAAGCATATGGAATCTTAGCCATGAATTCTCTTTCTTCCTCCGTCTGAGGAGACTGGTCCTCGGATAGGCGAAAATGACTTGCCAAAGGTGTGCTAACCGGTTTGGCATTGCCCATGTTGAATCTTTGCAAAATACGATTGATGTACTCTGCCTGAGATAACTGCAAAATTCCTCTTTTCTTATCTCTCATGATTTGCATTCCAAGAATCTTCTTTGTTGGACCCAAATCCTTCATGTCAAACTCCTTTGATAACTGCATCTTCAAGTTTATGATTTCATCCATATCCGGACCTGCTACTAACATATCATCGACATAGAGTAGCAAAATGATGTAATTGCACTTATATCTCTTGAAGAAACAACAGTGATCGGCATTGCACTTCTGGAAACCTTCCTTGTGCGTAAAGCTTTCAAACTTCATATACCACTGTCTTGGAGCCTGTTTCAGGCCATACAAGCTCTTCTTTAATCTGCACACCATATTTTGTTTCCCTTCCTCTAAGAAACCTTCAGGTTGGTGCATGTAGATCTCCTCATCTAAGTCTTCGTGGAGAAACGCAGTCTTCACGTCCAATTGCTCAAGGTAGAGCTCTTTGCTGGCCACAATACTTAAAACTGACCCGATAGTATTGAGCTTCACAACTGGAGCAAATATTTCAGTGTAATCAACTCCTTCTTTTTGCTGAAATCCTTTGACAACTAGTCGGGCTTTGTATCGCTTAGAACCATCATGATCCTCTTTTATTCGATACACCCATTTGTTGTGGAGTGCCTTCTTTCCACTAGGTAACTCAGCTAGTTCCCATGTCTGGTTGGAGATTAAAGACGTCATCTCATCTTTCATTGCAAGCTCCCACTTACTAGCATTTGTGGTCTGACATGCTTCTGCATAGTCTTCAGGCTCACCTCCATCAGTTAGCAACATGTAGTCCATGTATCTCCTATTGGGAACATGAGGTCGAGAAGACCTTCTCAATATAGGAGTTGGAGTACAAGTCTCTGATGCGTCATACTGTTGCTTACTGCTTTGTTCATTTGATTCCTCTAATTGAGGACTTTCAATTGTAGGACTTTCTAGGATATCATCCACCTCTGCATAAACTGGGTCATATAATTTTGATTCATTGGTGCTTGTGTTATGCCTATCTTTGTACATAACTCTTTCATTAAAGACCACATCTCTACTGCGGATCATCTTCTTGTTTTCATCATCCCATAAGCGATACCCATACTCATCCTCACCATAACCGAGGAAAGTGCATTTCTTTGATTTGGTGTCAAGCTTATTCCTGCCATGATCACTAATGTGCACATATTCTACACAGCCGAAAACTTTAAGATGTGAATTCAAAGTATAAAGGGATGCCGTTGCCGTTAGCTGTGCCTGCTATAGGATAACAACTGTGACCTCAATCTATATGAAGAGCGCCGGGTAGTTCATGTGATTATGCTCACCACCGCTTTCTTCAATTCAATTATTGGTACATTCATTCATGTCTTCATTCCATTTCAATGCTACTCACTTGCTTCTAAATTCTATCATGTTTAGTAGGTTTTCTTATCTATTTGAACTGATTTCATTTTGTGAATGGTCACCATGTTACCACAGCTTCTTAATGTGGGACATACATGTAGTTACTCTCTCAATTCTATGTACAATTATGGTCACCAGTCCGATTATCTCCAACTAGGCTCTTCAAGAACAATATATATGTGCAATTCATAAATAGTATATGACTGATATTTCTCATAATTGTACAGGTCATATATCAACATTAAGTT